CTATCTCCTTCCAATTGTTATAATGTTAAACGGGTCAAGGTTTTCGGTGGGAGAGAAAACAGAATTTATTTTTTTGGGAAACATTCTTGCGAAGTACCTTTTTTGTTGAAGATTTTTTTTGCCGTCTTGTTGGTTTAGTAGCCGGTAAGAATAAAAGTATCTGGTTGGGTGTTAGAGCTCAGAATGTTGAATTCAAGGAAATTTTTATCAGTTGAACGAAGAGAATGCTTTGGGATAGGTTTATTATATAGTACCGACTAGAATATTTTACGGAAATGTATATTTCTTTATCATTTGACGAATAGGGTAGACGACTAATTTTTATTTTAATGTCCGTCTGGTAGATTATTTAAAAACATTAGACACGTATTTTTTATTTTCTTACGGAAACGAATAGTTTCGAAGATATATTGATTTGAAATGTCGCGTGACGTCACTTCTCAGTACATTTTATACTAAGAAATGACGTTTTAGTCCCCACTCCTAAACTTTGATTCGTTTTATCTAAGTATTGTTTTATTATACAACAAAATAAAAAAATACGTGTCTAATATTTTTTTATTACCTAAGTTACGGACTAATTATATTTTTAATTTTCATACCCTGTCATCATCCCCATTGTGTACTTCTGAGATACCTTCGGAAAAAGGCCTTCCACAAAAGGCTGGTAACGCACTTGTAATATCTCTGGTGTTCCAGGTGCCCATAGGCGACACCAATTGCTTACCATCAGGTGACCCGTCTACTCGTTTACCGGCTTATCCCATAAAAGAACTGAATGATCATAACGGAAATAGATAGTTTAGATTGGGAAATAATATTTCTATGACAAAGACATCTAACATCTGAATTTTTTTTCTTAGCCCTGGGGCTAAGTTAAAGCAATTGATTTCATACACTTAAGTTTTCACTAACGCGTTACTAAATACATACATAACATAACGCCTTTTATCCTCGAAAGGGAAGACAGAGCACATTATGCCACTTTACAATGTAACACCCACTTTTCACTATTTATGTTATGAGTCCCTTGTAATAGGGGGTGAGCCTACTGCCATATATCGCTGCTACTACTAAGAGTTTTTTTAATAACCCAATAATACTTTGCCCGACCGGGAATTGAACCCGAGACCCCTTGTCTGGCAGACCACTCGGCCAACGAGGCAGTCGTCGCAGAAGTAACGCGTTACTTAGCAGCATCATTTATGTATGCGTGTACTACCATGAGAAAGGAATTAATCCAATATTAACAACCACACTATTGAAAGACATTATAAATATCGTTCAGCTCCTGGACATAAATGCTTCTTTGTGGCCCATGGGGATATTCCAGACTATTTATGAAAAGGCTTAACGTTACCCTTACAGGAGTAAGACTTAACAAACTTTATGGTATAATCCTTTTACCTCTTATGGTGCCCTCGGGATAAAAGCAGGTGATATATTTATGCCACAGGAACTATTACTGCCCTTACTAACGCATTATTTGGCTAGAAAGGTAGGTTTAATTGAATTTTGCAAAGTTTGAGGAATATTACGAGTTGACTGCTCGCTGTCCGAGTGGTTGCAAGAGGAATGCTGGGCAAGGGGCCTCGAGTTAGATTCTCGGGTCGGGCAAAGTATTACTGATTTTTTTTATTAATTTATCAGTAGTAGCACGGAGCCTGAAGTTGCCCGGTATATAGCAATAGGATCATAACTATTACATGGGGCTCATAACATGAATAGTGAAAAGTGGGTGTTAGATTGTACAGAGGCATTAAGTACCGTAATGTGCACCTCTGCCTACGATGGGGATAAAAGGTATATGCTTAATATCTTGTTACTAAAATGTGAAAATTGAAAATATACAGAAGCTAAGATATTCGCGTGTGTGTGAGTATATATGTAGGTTTTTGGATTTGTAGAAATATTTATGCAACTTAGCATGCTAGATTTGCTTTACACCTTTGATCTTAGAAGCAGTAACGGAGTATTCACAGACAATAAAAGAAAAAAATATATACAGTTGTTTGTTAATTGAATTAGAACTTGTCAACAACTCATCCATATTGATAAGAAACTCCATGTTTATTCTATTAAAATAATTGACAAGTTTCAATTAATTGAAGTGAATGGAGGAGAATATGGACGACAATTATGTATTTTTATTAACTAATGGGCTAAGGAGAGGCCAACTTTAATTTTTTTTATGGAATAGGAGACAAACGAGCTGAAGGATCACCTAATGGTAAGCGATTAGCACCGCCCATGGACACACGCAACACCAAAGGAGTCACAAGTGCGTTGCAGGCCTTATAAATGGACTACGCTTTTTTCTTGATGGTTTGAAGGTCATATCGGTTCGGAAATACCGCCGACGACGAAAGATTAATTTTGGTAAAATTTAAACTTGATCAGTAGTGGCAGTTGTGTCTAGTGCTATTTTTTTCTATTCGTGGTAGCCCGTATTTTATTTCTGTCGTGGTGGTCGAGGTTAAGACGCCCGCTTCTCCCGTATGCATCCGGATGCGGGTCCAAAACCTACCATCAGCAACTAACACTGTGACTTATTCCGAGATAATTTATTGTCTAAGATTATTTAGAAACCACTGACAAACGGTGAAGGAATTCATCTTGAAGAAACCTGGACTTATTGTTTCGCCAACTCGCAATGAGGAAGCGTGGTGATTAATGCTCAAACTCTTTCCGTGTTAGAAAAGTTTTTACTCAGCACTTATAGGCTGTTAATGTATGTATGTATTTTTTTCTATCAAGCCGGTTTCAAAAGCCTGTAAGTTTGTAGATTTGTTTACTAAAAGAGACAGCATTCTTAATAAGCCGGCATCGGACTTGGACCTCCCCTGGTGTTGTGAATGTCCATGTGCGATTGAATGGCGCTGGTCCCTTACTATCGAGTGATCAATATGGCCATTTATTATTATTACAAAAAAAAAAAATTGTGGTACATTTTAGATGAAAGTTATGAAAACATTTTATCTTCTAAGTAAGCAAATTTACAGGTAGATTGTTGTTGTTGTTGTTGCTTCAAATATTCTCACGACAATAGGTCTCAATGATTAAAATTGTATTTGAATTTTTTATAATAATAATATTATATATTACTATTAAATCATTTTATTTATTATTTTTTTAGTAATGGCAATATACACTGCCTCGTTGACCGGTACGGCCGTTAGTTTGTCGCAAGTGCGACTGCCGGACAAGGAGTCTCGGGTTCGATTCCCGGGTCGGGTAAAGTAATACTGGTTTTTTTTTAAATAAAATTCTCAGAAATAGCACGGAGTGTGGAATTGTGCCCGGTATATGGCAATAGGCTCACCTACTTTTACATGGGACTCGTAACACAAATAGTGAAAAGTGGGTGTTACTTTGTACAGTGGCATTAGGTGTTGTATACTGTACCTCTGCCTACCTCTTCGTGGATAAAAGGCGTGATATTTCGATCATTTTAGTTTTAATTTTTCTTTCAGTTATTTTTTTTTTGTATTCATAGCATGTAACCTATTATACACTGTGTCTAATGTTTATATTTCTTTTTGGTAAGTGTCACAGGTCTGGAGGAAGAAACCTCTTAAGGGATATACAATACTAATGTACCTCATGTTTGTAATTCGTTGTCCTCTGTAATATTGTCTGAAATGATAAATGAATAAATGATAGGTATACAAAAACAACTTTAAAGCAAAATGATGAAAAAGAATACTGAAAAACAGTTACACAGAGTAGCCTGACGCTGCTCATTTCAGTGTCGAACATGTGGTTACAAGTGTTGTCAATGCATTGTGTTCCTGACAGCGGTGGAGGCCCACCACAACAGTTTGCGACTGCCTACTGACTTTTATAACTGTTCTCTACTATTATTTTTTGTATCTTTTTGTTACAAGTATTCTGTCGTATACTGTTTGTCTGTTGTTCTGTTTGAAGATATGTGAAGTACGTTTTATTAAAATGATTTGGAGTTGGATTTTTGGACTTAGTGCCTTGGGCGTTGTCTCACAGTCGACCTGAAGGTGGTGCAGAGATTAAAGAGGCAGGTGACTAAGCAAATATTAATAATAAATAACTATATATAGATACTTACTTAGATAATTATATATGTATATATGTACACATATATCCAATATTTATATCATATAATAGTACTACACACATACATACCCAAGTCAAAATTAAATAACATGGGTTTTTTTTCTCAAAATCAATCAATGACTCCTTTCACCCTCGGTGAGGCGGGAGGGAGTGTCAGACTTACTGACTAAAAACCACATTGATCCAACTTTAAATCGGAACCACATAATACTTAGCGTTTCTACGCAGTCCCCGTCGGAATCTAACTTCCCTATACCTTTGTTTAGTTTGATCTATACATCCAGATAAAATATGTCGAGGACATCTAGCTGACCAGTCTAACTTGGTACCGCCTAAAAAAATATTTTTCTCACGTTTTAAACCTTTCTTGGAGTTCCACAAACATTTCTAATCCAAAATTAGCTAAATCGGTTCAGCCGTTTCCTAATTTTAGCGAGACTAACAAAAGGAAATTCATATTTACTTACAAACTTACTCACATTCATCTTAAGTGTGGGAGAGCCATGCTTCGGCACGAATGGGCCGGCTCGATCGGAGTGTTACCACAGAAATCCGACGTGAAGCAAAGCTTACGTTGTGTGAGTGCGGTTACCGGAGGCCCAATTACCCTCCCCTTCCCAATCTCCCCAATCCCTGAATCCCCAACGATCCTCAAACTCCTAATCTTGTAACGCCTCTGGTGTTTCAGGTGTCCATAGGCGACGCCGATTGCTTACGATCAGGTGATCCGTCTGCTCGTTTACCGGCTTATGCCATAAAAAAAAATATAGGAGGTATCAATAGAACAGACTAACTACATTTCTTTCACTCAGTCTCTCTAATTATCTCACGATACTATCCATTAATTCTAGTTTCGCGTTTCTGTCGAATCACCGTACTTAATACGTAAGATATAAGAAATAACTCACGGTTGGTGTCATTGAACCCTGGCAGACGTGACGCGTTCATATTCTCAGTCGCTCGCCCTCCTGGAAACAAAAGAGAAACATGTTTAATTAATGTACTGGGACACTTTTAGGGTACTGCTCAGTTACTCTCGAATACTGGAAGTCTACTCAATTTCAAGTCGCGCATAAGTATGTATAGTTCTAGTTGTAAAATAACAGAGATGGCACGGTATTTAAGTTTGACAAAAATTTTTAAATTGTCTGAAGTATGTTGAAATAAATGAGAATGACTTCACTTTTTTGTTAATAATATGTTTCCCTTGGGTGGTATCCCATCCACATCCTGACCTGGAGGTTTTGCCTTACGAGTCTATACTCTATGTAAAACTTAAATACAGGTTTCCTGAAGGACATGGATGGCTTGGGTGTCTTCCAGGCCCGAATAGGTTGGTTGTGGTTAGATGTGTTTCATCTGAGATCGCCCAGACAGATAGCAACTAAACAATAGGCTATTGCGAAGTTTTCGTTGACCAAGTGGTTGCAAGTGCGATTGCCGGGCAAAGGGTCTCGGGCTCGACTTCAGGGTCGGGCAAAGTATTACTGGGTTTAAAAAAATCTGAGTAGTAGCACGGAGCCTGGAATTATGCCCGGTATATGGCAATAGGCTCACCCCCTATTACATGGGCCCCGTAACATAAATAGTGAAAAGCGGGTGTTACATTGTAGAGTGGCATTAAGTGCTGCAATGCACCTCTGCCTACTCCTTTGGGCATAAAAGACGTGATGATGTTATGTTAAGAATACTCGTACACCATTAGTAAAGAAACGTCTTATTATACAGCTCATTTTTATACAAGTTACAACGAGGGTTCAGCTGCAAGTTTAAAATAAAACTTTGACTTAATAACAGGCCCCTGAGACTTTCAACTTGCTGTAGCAGGCTGAATGCAATTAGGTCCCGCGCGTCTCCCAGGTGGACTAAACTTAGCCAGACTAACCTAAGCCCCTGTCAGTCTGTCAAACTTATATCGGAACATAAACAATGTCGATATACCTATAATAATTGTCAGGTTTATTATTTTAGAATTAGGCAAATATAATTACCATTATTATATATTATTTTTGTTCTGGTGTGTTACTCCTTACTATTAACATATTTTTTTAAGTTTATACTGTTTACTAACACTCTTTGGGCCGTCGACGACTGAAAATAAAAGATTTTTATTATATTTGTATGAGCTTGTTTAAAAAACCAAAGGTTATGAAAATTTCTACAATTCTTTGAATTTCCAAATTTAAATCTATACAGATAAATAAAATTGAAGTATCTATTTGTAATATTAAAACAACCGCATTTTACTACATGCATATTTTAAATGAACAATGTATCTGTTCTTATGAGAAATAAATTCTTTAAACCCATATGAATATACATACGATACACATACTAAAATAATATGTTTTTGAATTTTGTCTCTCTGTCTATTTGTTTGTAACGGCTAATCTCTGGAATGGCTGCACTGATTTTGACGGAACTTTTATTGGCAGGTTGCTAATATACCAAGGAGTAATGGGGTGCTTTTATTTTGGAAAATTGAATCATAAAAATGTTATGTCCTAAAATGTATATTGTACGCGGACGAAGTCACGGACAACAGCTAATAGGGTAGGTGCATAATTTTTAATTTAATGTCCTTCTGATAGATTTATTTTCTTACAGAAACGAATACTTTCGACGATATATTGATATGAAATGTTGCGTGACGTCACTTATATGTACATTTTATACGTAGAAATGACGTTTTAGCCCCCACCCCTAATTTGATTCGTTTTATCTAAGTATTATTTTAATATACAACAAAATAAAAAAATACCTGTCTAATATTTTTTAATTAGCTAACTTACGGACTGATTAGATTTATAAATTTCATACCCCGTCATCATCCCAATTGACTTATATTATTAGTAATGTG